CCCATCCCGCCAGCAACAGTACGGCTGCACCCGGCGGCGGGACCCGCCAGAGCACACCGACCGTGTGTGTGTCACTGGAGCTTTACTCCGACCACCCATCCCGCCAGCAACAGTACGGCTGCACACGGAGACGGGACCGACCAGAGCACACCGACCGTGTGTGTGTCACTGGAGCTTTACTCCGACCACTCATCGCGCCAGCAACAGTACGGCTGCACCCGGCGGCGGGACCCGCCAGAGCACACCGACCGTGTGTGTGTCACTGGAGCTTTACTCCGACCACCCATCCCGCCAGCAACAGTACGGCTGCACACGGAGACGGGACCGACCAGAGCACACCGACCGTGTGCGTGTCACTGGAGCTTTACGAAGCACTCAGCTGCTGAGGCTGTGACGTCGCCTGCCTCGCACCCTCGCGGGCAGGGCGGGCACCACGGAGGATCGAGCCTGCACCGGCCGTGCACCCTCCCCACCTAAACACCCGCAACCCCCGAGCAGTCACACTCAGGCCACCCCAGCGCGCCGCATCCAGGCACGGCGAACGAGACCATGCCGGGCTGTTCCGGATCGAGACGGGGCTCGAATCCCGGCCGCCGACGTCGACGCGCCGAGCTGTCACGCTGAGAGGCGCCGCGGGCGACGGCGACGACAGGAGAGCGGACGTCGATCAGACGGACAGGCGGGACGGACAGACCAGTGGGCAGACCGAACAGACGGGCGGGACGGACAGACCAGCGGACAGACCGAACGGACCTGCGGGACGGACAGACCAGTGGATGGACCGAACGGACTGGCGGGACGGACAGACCAGCGGGCAGACCGAACGGACCGGCGGGACGGACACACCAGTGGATGGACCGAACGGACTGGCGGGACGGACAGACCAGTGGGCAGACCGAACGGACCGGCGGGACGGACAGACCAGTGGACAGACCGAACGGACCGGCGGGACGGACAGACCAGTGGATGGACCGAACGGACTGGCGGGACGGACAGACCAGTGGGCAGACCGAATTGACCGGCAGGACAGGTCAGCCAGAAGCCAAAAAGACGGACGGGCAGGACAGGACAAGACAGGGCAAGACAGATCAGCCAGTAGCCAGACCGAACGGGCGGGCAGGACAGGCCACCCAGCAGACAGGCCGAGTTGACAGGCAGGACAAGCCAGCCAGAAGCCAGACAGAACGGACGGACAGGACAGGCTAGCCAGAAGCCAGACCGGACGGACGGGCAGTACAGGTCAGTCAGAAGCCAGACAGAACGCACGGGCAGGACAGGCTAGCCAGAAGTCAGACCGGACGGACGGGCAGGACAGGCTAGCCAGAAGCCAGACCGGACGGACGGGCGGACCAGTGGCAGGGCCGGGTCAGACGGAGCAGCGTTCGACGGGAGGATCGTTCACATCGGCCGAATCGGGAGTCGGTCAAACCGTCGCCCAACGACGGGTCGGTGGGTCAGTGGGTCGGTGGGTTGGTCGACCGGTTGGTGGGTGGGAAGGTGGGCCGCGGGTCGGCGAGTCGGTGGGCGGGGCAGTGGGTTGGTGGGTCGGTGGGTCGGTGGGTCGGCGGGTCGGCGGGTCGGTGGGTAGGTCGACCGGTTGGTGGGTGGGAAGGTGGGCCGCGGGTCGGCGAGTCGGTGAACGGGGCAGTGGGTCGGCGGGTTGTGGATGGATCGGTGGGTCGGTGGGTCGGTGGGTCGGCGGGTCAGTAAGTGGGTCGATGGGTCGTCGGCGGGTGGGTCGGTCTGTCCGCCGGCGGGTCGCAGGTGTCGGGGCGGCGGCCGACTGTAAACCGCCGGCGGCGATCAATAGTCGGTCTCGGCCACAGCTCCATAGCGGCCACTAAGCCAGACCGGGCCGCCAACACCCCGGCTGCAGGCCAGACCGGGGCGCCGGTGCACCCGGCTGCAGGGGAACGACACGCACTGGACTATCCGGGCACGGACACTCCACACATCGCCCACCGAAAAACCGACACACGACAGCGCGCGAAGCCTGCTAGCGCGGATTCGCGCGGGGGACCGTTACGTTAACCGTTACGAGGTAACCTAACGGCAGGAGCCTGGCACATGCGACCGACCGGCTCCATGCACAACACCAGCAACGCCAGTGACGCCGTACAGAGGACAACAACGGCCATCAAGCCTCCGACCGCACGGGGACGGGCAGGTCGGAGCTCAAGCGGCCCAGTGGCCAGCGGAGCACGCCGTACAGAGGACAACACCGGCCATCAAGGCTCCGACGGCACGGGGACAGGCAGGTCGGAGCTCAAGCAGCCCACAGTGGCCAGCGGCGCACGCGCGCGCCACATGGGTCCCCCAGGCTATTACACACGCGATGACCTTTGCTCCCGGCGGCCCCACAGAGCCGGATGCAGGAGCTGACCAACTTAGATGGACGGCAAGCAAGTGTCGGCATGACAGTGTCCGTCCCGGCGGGAACCCTCACCGCATGCACATGGGCAGCAAAGTTCGGCGACCGAGAAACTCAACGTGGGCAGCTTCCGTGAGGACTTGGTGAGTTCACCGGAGCAAGGAGCGCCTCAACCGCGACGGTGACTACAAACAGACGATATGTCGCGGCTCTGAACCTTCCGACATCGATTCCCAACAACCATTTACACTGCTGTGGGTCCTCTTATCTCCCATTCCCCTGACATTGACCACACTTTCATCGCTCCACGGAACTCCATCTACACCTCTCGGGCCACACTGCTGGTCGTGGTCACCGACACGTCTCAACGTCTCCACAGCCGCCGCCGGCAAAGCCCGTAATCCCTCTCCCGAGCTCCAGACACTCCATGAGGCCGCTGGCGGTTCCGCAGCCGCCGCCGACAGAGCCCGTGACCCCTCTCCCGTGCTCCAGACACTCCGAGAGAGCGCCAACGGCTGCGCAGCCGCCGCCGACAGAGCCCGTCACCCCTCTCCCGACCTCCAGACACTCCGAGGGACCGCTGGCGGTTCCGCAGCCGCCGCCGACAGAGACCGTGACCCCTCTCCCGAGCTTCAGACACTCCGAGGGCCCGCTGGCGGCTGTTGACGGCCCCAGCCCGCCGCCGCTGGAGGCTGAGCGCCGCCGCCGTCAGCCAGCCGTGTCGGCCGCGCGCCACTATTTCCGGCGGCCGGGCTCTGCATGCACCGACCGTGCGGCGGCCGAAGTTGGCTCACTCTCGCCACAGACACGCCGCGCACGGGGGCAGGGCAGGGCGCGCGGAGAGGGAACGGGCGGTGCAGAGCGGGGGCGGGAGGAGCGAGAGCGGACGGAGCACAGCGCACAGAGAGCGGGCATAGTAGAGCGCGCGGAGAGGGAGCGGGCGGACCAGAGTACGCAGAGAGGGAGCGGGCGGAGAGCACGCAGTGCCGCCTAGGCCGCTGCCATGTATGCAGACGGAACGCTCCCACACTGGACTGTGTCCGTTCCAAACGTCTCCCGCCTCCGTAGCCCTGACCGGAAACGCGTACCGCAAGTGTTTAGAGTCGACACGCACGGTAGGGTTCCGTCACCTACTCTATCTGAGCACGTGTTAAATACCACGCCACTGATTGTGTTTACTCCCGTATCATATCTCCAGTCCTTCCACTCGCCCCGTCTGTGCTCCCCGATGCCAACGAAAATTGTAAGGCCGTCCATCTGGCCTTTCTCAACATGGCTATTTGGTCTGCAGTCCGGACGTTCGCATCGTTCATTCCCCACACAAAAGGTGATTGCGAGGGGGGGGGGGACAATCAGCACCAGATCGACTCCTGAAGCTGACTCTGTCCTGTCTGACCCCCCCCCCCTGACCCCCCCCCCCCCTCCCCCCCCTCCCACCTCACCCCAGGTCACGACCGGCGGTGCCCTGTCGACACGGCTGTGTAGGGGGCGACGCCATGAGCGAGCGTGGCGCAGCGCTGGACCGGCTCCGGGGGCAGGCCGACCAGACTCCCCCCCCCCCCCCCTCCTCACGGCCAGTGCCGGACGCCTCACGCAGTCGGCTCATCGGAGGATTGGCCGTCTGTCATGTCACGGCTGACAGGATGACAGCTGTCACCTGATGCACGTCTGGAGGGGAAGCTTTCGACGCCTTTGAAGCACGTCCGCGGGCCCTCAAACAGCGTAGCCCAGCTCGTTTCAACGACGTCCACTGTAACAACTCCAGGCCAGATCGACGTCCACTGTGCGAGCTCCTGGACAGATCGACGTCCACTGTGCGAGTGCCTGGTCAGATGGACGTCCACTGTGCGAGCTCCTGGTCAGATCGACATCCACTGTGCGAGCTCCTGGTCAGATCGACATCCACTGTGCGAGCTCCTGGTCAGATCGACGTCCACTGTGCGAGCTCCTGGTCAGATGGACGTCCACTGTGCGAGCTCCTGGTCAGATCGACGTTCACTGTGCGAGCTCCTGGACAGATCGACGTCCACTGTGCGAGCTCCTGGACAGATCGACGTTCACTGTGCGAGCTCCTGGTCAGATCGACGTTCACTGTGCGAGCTCCTGGACAGATCGACGTCCACTGTGCGAGCTCCTGGTCAGATGGACGTCCACTGTGCGAGCTCCTGGTCAGATCGACGTCCACTGTGCGAGCTCCTGGTCAGATCGACGTTCACTGTGCGAGCTCCTGGACAGATCGACGTCCACTGTGCGAGCTCCTGGACAGATCGACATCCAGTGTGCGAACTCCTGGTCGGATCCACATCCACTGTGCGAACTCCTGGTCGGATCCACATCCACTGTGCGAGCTCCTGATCAGATCGCTAAAACCGTGGTCTGGCAGGTTTGGCCACAGTTTGAATGTGGAATTTGTTGCGCATAACACATGAGTGCATCACAAGCCTCAACCGACATCACGGTCGTAATGCATAACAAACGCAACAGAAAAGGATTGCAGATAACCCTGGACGCGTACTTGCTCAGTGATCTCAGCATATGTCTTAAAAATGACATGAGGGGATACAGTCTACAGATACATGACAGGGTTACAGTCTCACAAGCTAGCATGATCCAGGCGCGCAGGACTGACCTTCCACCGCGATGACCTTGTCCTTAGCCGCCTGCAGGGCAGCCTCGGACCTGTGCTCCAGGTCGGTCAGGGCGACCTTGTACTGGACCTGCGGATAACAACAGGACGCGTCAGTAATCATTGGGGATTACCTAACGACTCACGTGACGGGACAGCCCATTACCTTGACAGCCACCCGCGACGCCTGTCGCGCTTAAGTGGGAAAACAGCCGAAAATCGATCCCGGCCGGGTTTCGAACCGGGGCTGTCAATTCCGCATGCACGAAGCACTAGCTTCCCCGTTTGTCAGCGATGCCGCCAAATGACTCCTGAGCCAAAACGTTGAGCGTCATCGATTAGAGCATAAGCCGCCCATTGGCAAGAGTTTTAAGGGAGCAGAAATGGCGTGTGTAATATGTTGCGCCATACAAGAATAGATCACCCCATATCAGAAATGTTACGCCATATGTTGCGCCATGTTATGCTCACGCGTATAAAGCTCAAATGGCGTGTGACATACAATGTGTTGCACCGCACGAATTAAGCAAAGACGTAGTTTCTGTGCATGACCAATATGCTTTAAAGACGGAATGACTGATCCAAAAATACCCCCACCCGCAGCCCCCAGCACAACCATAAGATAAGTAATACCCTGGATGTAACTCCACCAACTGCACTTTGCATCCTGCGGAATACCACACGCTGAACGGGTTGGCACACGCGAGCGCGCGAGTGTGGTCCGCGTCACGTACACCCCGTGGATCAACGAGCAGGCGGTGTCAAAATAAGGCGACCCAAGAGACCAGGGCCTGGGTAACAGCGGCGTCTCCTGTATCCTCCCCGATTGTTAACTGAGGACGCTTCCTGTCCTCCGTCACGAAACAAGGCCGGGCCGAGACCTGGCCGGAGGCCTGTGTCGGTGTGTGACGCGGGCGTGACGGGCGTAACGGCAGCGCGTGTCCCACGGGCGGGGGGGGGGGGCGCCACGTCAGGCGGGCGCTCCGTCCCAGCGGGGATCTCCGCCGGCCAGTCGTGGAGGCCTCAGACGGCTGACGGCGCGGACGCCGCAGCCGGCGGCGAACAGCAGCAGCGCCGGCGCATCTCACAGCCGCAAGGAAAGAAACACAAAGAAAGAGAGAAGACACGGCATGTGTGTTCGGAGTTGGCAGACACTGAACACACATGCCGCGTGCTCCGAGAACAGGACACCGCACCGCCCACGGGCGGGCCCTCACTCGGGGTAAGCTGATTTCGAACTTGACCGCTCCGTTATTCCAAGATGGCGGATATCTCGGGGCGGTCGCAGACCCGTTCCGAGACGGCTGGTGCCTCAGAGCACTGGCGGGACGGTTTTGAGCCATGCCTGCGCCTGGCAGACTGTTGGGTAGTCTAGAGGTGGCGGGCGGTATCGCCAGGTGACCCCTAGTCCTCCGCGTTTGTTTCCCTGCAGACTCCAATGACTCCTATTTGGGGGGAAACCTGACGACAGTTACAGTCTTGCCATACTTACCATGGCCGACTCTGCACCCTGCTTATGGTCTTGTCATACTTACCATGGCCAACTCTACACCCTGCTTATAGTCTTGTCACACTTACCATGGCCAACTCTGCGCCCTGCTTGTGATCTTGTCACACTCACCATGGCCAACTCTGCACCCTGCTTATAGTCTTGTCACACTTACCATGGCCAACTCTGCACCCTGTTTAGTCTTGCCACACTCACCATGGCCGACTCTGCGCCTTGCTTATGGTCTAGCCACACTCACCATGGCCAACTCTGCACCCCGCTTAGTCTGGCCACACTCACCATGGCCGACTCTGCGCCCTGCTTATGGTCCTCCAGTTCGACGAGCCGCTCCGACATTGTCTTCAGCTGAGCTGACTTCGTCTGTACCTCCTGCAAACACGGCCGTCAAATACGCCGTAAAACACGCCGCAATAACGAAACCTGGCGGCAGGAGATGGAAACACGGCTTCGCTACGCGTCCACCGGTGACGCCACATCTAATACCGGCGATAGGACATTAGACAGAATATCGGCGATAGTAAAAACTTTCCCGTCTTTCAGAGCACTTCGCGTCGGCAGGCTGGGACTCCAGACATCAACGGCACCACCAAGATAGCTCACGAAACGAACGTTCATCCTAATATATACTTGTCTGGCCGGAGAGACCCCACCCTCCCACGTGAAACAATCTCAATTAGGACGAGCTATTTTGGTGAGCTATGAAGAAGGGAGGAGTTTAGATTGCCTATCTGGTGTTATTGTTACTGAAAACCACCTACGGCGGGGGGGGGGGGATCTCCTCAGGATTTGAGTAGTTGGTGACCTCCATGAGGCCTTAAGCTGTGACTGACGTACAAGAGGCGTTGTTGGAGAGGAGCTCCTTGAAAGAAGACCTCTCGCACGGACGAGCTTGTCAGCACGCTCCCACGAGACGTAGTCGTGGCTACTCCCTGCTCTCCCCGAGCGGCGCCACTGGTGACAGTCCCCTCCCGCGCGTGAGGCTACGCCGATAACTGACCTCCCTCAGGCGGGTCAGCTCCTCCCTCTCCCCGAGCAGCCCCGCTGGTGACAGCCCCCCTCCCGTGCGCGAGGCTGCGCCGTTGACTGACCTCCCTCAGGCGGGTCAGCTCCGCCAGCTGACTGGCCAGCTCGGCCTCGTGTCGACTGCAGTCTCGGTGCAGCTGCGCCACCAGCCGCGAGCCCTCCTCCAGACTGCGCGTCTGCTCCTGGTGCCGCGCCAACAGGCGCTTGTATCGCCCGATCAGCTGACTGCCGGGCGAGCGGGGCTCAGGTCAGCTGGCAGGGAGGGTTCAGGTCAGCTGGCCAGTGGGGCTCAGGTCAGGCGGCGGGCAGGGTTCAAGTCAGCTGGTGGACGAGGCCCAGGTCAGTTGGCAGGCAGAGCTCAGGTCAACTGGCAGGGAGGGCTCAGGTCAGCAGACAGGCAGGGGTCAAGTCAGCTGGCTGGCATATGGGGCTCAGGTCAGCTGGCGGGCAGGCCTCAGGTCAGCTGGCAGGCAGAGCTCAGGTCTACTGGCCGGCAGGGCTCGCAAGGACACGCTCCACTGACGTGGCGACGCCCACAGCGACGCTCAGGTCAGCCGGGCAATCCAACGTAAGTGTCGCGTGCTCTAACAGGCGGAGCACGTTAACGACGCCGTTGGCAATGTCATAGGCGTCCTGTTAAGTGGCAACAGTCACGGTCAGGGGCGTATGCATGGTTTCACAATGAGGGAGGTACAACTCCAGCCATGTTGAGTGAAAAATCCGTTAATGCGCAAAGCTAAGCCATTTGTTTACACATGCGCATATTCATTTTATACAATTCCCGTGTCTACGCCGACCTTTTAACCGTTGACTTCATTCAAAACCATACAACCGCTTTTAAAATCATAAAAGGGCAGGACACGTGCCCACGCGCCTACCCCTGAATACGCTCCTTGTCACGGTACACCAAGCGACCGGCACTGCGCGCGGGGCTGCGCTCACTCACTCGGTGTTGATAATCTTCATCTTGATGCGGTCCATCTCCATCCACTGCCTACGCAGCTCCGCCATCTCCTGCAGCAGAAATTAGCAGCATCACAAGGTAGCCTTCTTGCCGCCACAGTATTCCGCCGGATAAAGATATGGATGGGAGCTTTCAGAGCAAGCCTTTTGCGCGTAACATGTGCGGAGCCTATCTCCAAGCATGAAAATGACTCATCAGATGTCGTCGCCCCACCCTTCTTGATACGGGCTGAGCGCCGCCGGCGAACTGTGCAGCGCTGATCAGCACAGCGCCGGTCCCCAGCGCTGGTCGCCAGCGTTGGTCAGCGGCGCCCAGTGGCGCCACAGCGAACGGTGTACCAGTCATCCGCTCTCAAAACCCTCCGGCTGTGGATCGGTCCGGTCCGGCCGGCAGGGGGCCGGCTCGCCCGGAGAAGAGCTCTCCCGCCCGCACGCCCACGCACCCAACCGAACACGCACCCGGGAGCGAGCTAAGACGGCGCTGAGAGAGCTGGTGCACCGTGCTGGTGTACCGTGCTGGTGTACCGTGCTGGGACTGTGCTGGTGTCCCGTGCTGGGACCGTGCTAGTGTACCATGCTGGTGTACCGTGCTAGGAGAGCTGGTATACTGTGCTGGTATACTGTGCTAGGAGAGCTGGTGTACCGTGACTGACGACTGATTGCGATGCATTTCATTTTTGTTGGGTGCCTTACGAACGAAGAAAATTACGAATGAGCTGATGCGGAATGTATGATGACTGATTGATGACTAAACAACGACCATTATCTTATGAATGAACACATAACATCAGTTCTCACGAAGACACTATCAATCAATAGATGCATGAGAAGTATGCCGTAATACCAAGAAAGTTTTGTGCCTTCGCACGACCGATCTCGGATCGTGAGCGATTACAAACCACTTGACCATTCAGTAACGGCAGCGGCACCACCACATCGCTGACAATCGGCCCGTCTTGCTCTGACGTCACGGGCAACCCAAGGCCGGACGGCCTGCGCCGGATGTGACCACCGGCATCACACAGACGCGCACATACACAACCCCTGCACCGCCAATGACAGGAAGGAGGGGGGAGGGGGCTGTGGCCACCGGGATCACGCAGACGCGCACATACACAGCCGCCTGCACCGCCACAGACCGGGGGGGGGGGGGGGGAGGGGATGACCTGCGGCCGCGCCACTCCCGGCCTCAGACGGCAGGAGGGGGAGGGGGGGGGGGGGGGAGGGTCACGCCAAGAGGGACGGAGACCACGGGCACGGACAGCCCCTGCGTCGACAGGGCCAGTAACCAGCCGGGGCAACAGCAGTCACGGCGGACCTGCCGCCGGACACGGCACCGCGGTCTCGGTCACACCGCGTACCTGTCCGGACGTCGAATGACTGCTGCGTGTTTGAGTAATGGGCGCGACGAGCACGTTTGCCCTCTCAGCCATGTCCGCCATACATTCCGTTAAAGACGAATTGACGCGTGTGGGGTGCGTACATTCTTCTCGTGATGGGATCACTCATATGACCATTTCCGACAGCACAACCAGACACCACCACATACAACTAGGTGCACAAACATGATATGTTGCAAGCTACAGACCGCCTATTTACGCGTCATAAATCATTCACTCCCAGATAAGTTGAGAACCACTGCAATCTCACGCCGGTGACGCAGGTCCGTCACCGAACAAGATGCGAGCCACACCCACTCACCTCCACCACACGCACAACGCGCACATGGCGGCAGCGTCGCGAGCTCAGCTGGCGCCATCACTACCCTCACGACACCGGGGGGCCCGCCCCCGCCACCACACACAGCTTCACCGCCGCGGCGCCGCCCGCTGCGCAGCGCCGCCAGCCCCCTCCCCCTCCCAGACGGGGGGCGGGGCGGGGGCGGGACTTTGATCAAGGTCGGCGGGTGGTGAGATCGGCCCCTGTACGGCACGTGCGGGGGGAGGGCTGTAGGTGGCTGTCCGGAGGCTGGGCACCGACCAGCGAGGGCTGGCGGTCTGGGCCGGGGCCTGGTGCTGCGGTAGGTCACGGCGGGACACGGGAGGTCATATCGGTCACGGCGGGTCACGGCGGGTCACGGCGGGACACGAGAGGTCACGTCGGTCACGGCGGGACACGGCAGGAGCGACGTGAGTCAGCAGAGGTCACTGAGTCAGCCTTCTCTGGCGTAGAACGGAGTTGGCATCGGGTGTGAATATGTGGTGTTGGTGTTGGACAGCTTATAAGTTCGACAGCTCACGGCGAAGACACGCGGCAGCCTCGTGACGTCACCATCCGACCACTGAGCCCACATCCTCTACTGACACGCGCAATGTCAACAGCCCGCCCACACTGCAGTGAAGACGGGAGGCAGCGCGGCACACACGGGAGATCGGGTTTTGAAATTCGTGCAGCCTCCGAATGTACCGGGCTACGTGCGCTGAGCGCCCACGCGTCACCACCCAGCCCTGAAGAAAACAGCTTTTCCCAGCTCACCACGGTCTTTTGCCACAGCCACGCCCGAATGTCGGTCGGCGGGCGCGTCGTCTGTGTGACAGCCCTGTCCGCCTGACAAGCTCGGTATCACAATCCCCTTGATACAATGGAGGCCCTACGGCGACCGTAAAAATACCTTTACAGTGAAGAAAACAAGACAAAAAACTGTTTTAGTCCGCGACCATCACCTGGGAGATGTTTTGGCTATCACACTCTGGCACCGACAAAAAAAAAACCAAAAACGCACAAATAAGGAGTTACTAGCGCACGCATCCCTCAACCACCGCATCCCTCAACCACGGCATCTCTCATCCACGGCATCTCTCGACCATGGCATCTCTCAACACCTCATCCCTCAACCACCACATCCCTCAACCACGGCATCTCTCAACCACCGCGTCCCTCAACCACCGCATCCCTCAACCACTGCATCGCTCAACCACCGCATCCCTCAACCACCGCGTCCCTCAACCACCGCATCTCTCAACCACCACATCTTTCAACAACCGCATCCCTCAACCACGCTTTACACGCATGTGTAGAAGAACAGGTAAATTTTACTTTCAGGAATATGGTGCCGGTGGAAATAAGTCACATGCTCCATGTATGCTTTGCATCTATGACATGAACTTATAGCCTTTCCATTCTGTGCTGCTTGGTGATGAAATGACCTGCTACTACCAGGTTGCCTGTGCTGCTCTGTGAGGAAATGACCTGCTATCTGCCAGGTTGCCTGTGGTGCTCTGTGAGGAAATGACCTGCTATCTGCCAGGTTGCCTGTGCTGCTCTGTGATGAAATGACCTTCTATCTACCAGGTTGCCTGCGTTGCTCTGTGATGAAAAGACATGCTATCTACCAGGTTGCCTGGACCCTAAGTTACAAGCTCGACCATATCCACGCCACGCCGAGCTAAGTCATTATGTCATGCCATAAAGACATAGCTATACTATCATGCCAGAATGCCAGACATATATGGAAAGGTGGTGAAGTCACTGGATGTAATAGTAACAACACCAAAAAGCTTGGCAATAAACTTAGCAGTACAAATATCTTGCTCTAATGCATACAAGAAGGCAATTCCTACAAAAATGCAAAATTGATTTTATGGTATAGTAGCATAAGCACATCATTGTCATGACAACATTAAATAATACTGTGATGTTCCTATGATTGGCCTCTACCATCTGGAATGGATCCTTGACAATGATCTATTTTCATGGACCAATCTTGCCACACATTGCTATGGTACTGATATGTCAGTGCTTGCATAGCTGCACAACTTAGTGTTTTTATTTCATGTGAAGGTTGTCTACAATTTGCTGCATTATTTTAAGCAAACAACTTACAGTATGAATCAGGGTATATGCAACACATGTTTCTTTTTGGGTGCTCACTTTCTGGGGACTATCATGCTCAGTATGAATTGAAATTGCATTCCCTTAGGCAGCAGGATTACAGCATGGACTGTTCAAAGTATTGTGAGGAACCCTGGTTTAGCTTTTCAGATTATCAAGTAGAGCTAGAAGAAAAAAAGAGAAACTTGTAACACATTGGCACATATCCAACATACAGATGGAGTCTAAGAGTACATTGTTGGGTGAAAATCAACAATGTGCCTATCCCAGACAATCCAAACCTGTCATCCAGACCACAAGGCAGCTGGGAGCAGACCAGTTCTCTTCAACAAGCTAGCAGAATCAGATTAGGGCACACTGGTCCCAGGGCACACTGGTCCCCAATCACACTGGTCCCAGGGCACACTGGTCCCAGGGCACACTGGTCCCAGGGCACACTGGTCCCAGGGCACACTGGTCCCCAAGGCACACTGGTCACAGGGCACACTGGTCCCAGGGCACACTGGTCCCCAAGGCACACTGGTCACAGGGCACACTGGTCACAGGGCACACTGGTCCCAGGGCACACTGGTCCCAGGGCACACTGGTCCCAGGGCACACTGGTCCCAGGGCACACTGGTCCCAGGGCACACTGGTCCCCAAGGCACACTGGTCACAGGGCACACTGGTCACAGGGCACACTGGTCCCAGGGCACACTGGTCCCCAAGGCACACTGGTCCCAGGGCACACTGGTCACAGGGCACACTGGTCCCCAAGGCACACTGGTCACAGGGCACACTGGTCACAGGGCACACTGGTCCCAGGGCACACTGGTCCCCAAGGCACACTGGTCCCAGGGCACACTGGTCCCAGGGCACACTGGTCCCAGGGCACACTGGTCCCCAAGCACACTGACCATGGAGTACAGGGCACACTGGTCCCAGGGCACACTGGTCCCCAAGCACACTGACCATGGAGTACAGGGCACACTGGTCCCCAGGCACACCAGTCCCTGGGCACACTGGTGCCAGGGCACACTGGCCCACCACTGACCTGCTGGGCCTGCAGACAGCCGGGACAGCCGGCACTGGCACCAATCTCTGGAGCATTGCCAGCAGCAAGCATGTCAAAAAATTCCTGGTCTGCCATGCCGTCCTTATGGAGTCACATTGTCAGGGATCAAGGCAGGAACAACATTTTCTTGGTGAGCTGAAAAATAATGGGCAGTAGCAGTCAGTGACTCACTTCACCCTGAAAATGTGCATTTGTTAAACAACAGTTCAACTCTTGCAGAACTCCTGGGTGAAACTCATCATGATAGTTAGAATGAAAGGCTGTTAAACTCTTCAGATTTTAAGCCATAATCCTTTTACTCAGGGGCGGTTCTATGCTCAGATCTAAGCATCCGCATCACTTACAATCACTTGACCTGTCATCTTATATGATAATGACAGTCACCATAGCTGAGTCGATACCACACTACTAAATGCAGCCTCACATTTTAAGCTCTGCTGCATGGACATGCAAAGCTTGGGGATTAAAAGCTCCAAACTCCTGTTTTCTTGCAGTAAGGCCTAATAGCAGGGGTCTCCCCCAACCCCGTGGCATCAGTGCCGCAGGATTGAGAAACAAGGTTTGATTTACTCAATTTCCTTGATGTGTGACATTGATGTTTTAACATATTCAGAAGCTACATTAAATGCATATCCCACATAATATTCATATTTCATACACAAACAGCACATTTGGCTGCTACATCATCCAATCAACAATGAGGCCCATCTTTTGCTGCTCTTGTTTTGATGGCTTGATGCATCAGCATTATCTGAACTCCCACAGTGTCCACACAAATTGCTGCATTTCAGTCTTCTATGAAAGATCACAGCTGCATGTTGAAGTGGCAAAATGGTACTTAAATCTCTGCTTTGTATGTATCTCTGCTTTCATATGGTCAAGTGTCAAGGGGTACAAATAAGTTGTCTAAGTTCTAAGTTGTCTAATATTTTCAATTCTGATGGAGTGTGAGCTTCAGTAAACACTCCCATTGGTGCTATCCATCACGAATGAAAGATCATTCTACTCTGCTGTCAATAACCTCCAGTTCCTCTTGCTAGCAACTGGCAAGCTCATAAGAGCTAACCCTTCCTACAACCCCTTGCATATTCGGCCATCAAAAATCCAGACCATTGAATGCACAGAATCTTTGCCACTGGCATGAGCATATTGAAAACATGGCGAATCCTCACCATGGGAAGTCAGGTCACCTAACACCACTTCCACGGCATCCAGCAAAACCATATCATGTTGTTATCCACTACACAACCACGAGGGTGGAGACGAATATCACGTTTTCCATCACGAGTGAACGTTTGTGCGGGTACCCTCTGTCATAGCTGCGTCATTTCTGTATTAGTTTGATAAAGCTTAACGTAGGTAAATACAATTATTTAGCGTTAGGACGCCACACAGCCTTAGACCAGGCAGGGACAGTGTGCACGTCTCCTTCCTCCAAGCATAGAACTTCATATTTCTTTGTGGAGGCTATGGCCCTCAAATGTTGAATCAAATCCCTAATGCTGAGCTGGGGTCAGCAATGTTGGGCTACCTCCAGTATTTGACTGGGCCCTGCTATATTCTGCTTGGCCTTCTTTTAAAATGTGGTACCTGGCTCACGACGCCCCATCAGTTCTTTGGAGTACAGATAATTTAAGACTATGTAGACGCTCGCGATTTACCATTTAAGAAAGACACTTAGGTAACACGATATCTAATAACTGATATAAGACGAAACCCGCAAAAAGAAACATTTTGTAAGCTGCTGGTGTAAAGTAATTTACCTGTCGTGGTGCGAGACTTGCTTGCCGTTCGCGGGCGGCATTGTGCGCACAAGCGGGAACGAGCGCAGGTACTGGCTTGTGCATGGCGCGTGCCTGCTTGCATCTGACACCTCGTAGTGGTGGGTCCAGAGATCTGTCGCCAGGCAGCCGTAACCCGTAGTGTCGGCTACGCCGGCACTGGAGACGCGGCCGGCCGCTAGGTGGCGGTAATAGCCGTACCAGGTATGCTAGGTGCCGCAATCGAGTTATGCGCCTACACGAGGAAGAGAACATTTCATCCCAGGGCGAGCACGATGAGGGAAGTGATGAACGGTTTTTCGAGGCACTCCGCATCGTGCCTCGTCTCTGGCGCATCGCACTGTGGCCTCTTCTTGAAGTCGGGCTAAAGAGGATGGGGCTCCGCGGCCCTTACGGGGGTGGGGGTGGATTCCTTCACGTGACTCTAAATATGTGCACTTTAAGTTTTGGCTCATATAGAATGTACGTTCGTAATTATTTGTTGGCCAAAGCAAATTCCCAGGCGAGCGTCAGTGTGTAGGGGAGAAAGTAACGTAATAAGTTCGAGAAATGGCTATTGGAGTAACGTGTCTAATAAGAAGATGCAGTAGGTATATCTTTCCCTTCCAAGTGCGCTGTTCCGGAATTCCTCTGCGGTGAGCGCTAAGTGAACTCTTCCGGGCCCGCACACCTACCGTGTGGCAGGCGGAGCAAGTGTGCATTAATATGAGCCACGGTGCATTGATGTCGCCAATTGGTGAAATGCGACATTTCGCGGTACCGGCTGGCGCGGCACGCTGGCCAACAACGCGAGAACATCACACACCTCAAAGTGAATTTGTGTCATTGGGGCCTTACGGCGCTTCTGAGACCATACGGGGACGCCTGTCTCTGCTCCTGGCAGAAAGGGCAGGCACTGCGGGGAATTAAACCTCACAGCGAATGGTTAAGCGCAAGATCATCTTATGCACATTATCTAGCTAGTGGTGCTTCTCAAGTGACATGCCATGACGCCAATATTGAAATTTTGGTAGTGAAAACAGGAAGCGGCAAAACTATTAGAATTCGTATACTTCGGACGCGATATTCTCTCTCTTAGAAAAACATACGGCCAGCTCCCTGAAATATCTCAGATGCTTAGTGTCGTTGACATCAAAATATTAAAACCTTGTGGCGCACGTTTTGAGTGTCTTGAAGGAGCACGACAATTCCCTACCTCATTTTGAAGAAATGTGACACGAGCGATGCATAAACGACATGAGTGTTGGATATCAAATGCGAGGATGCTAGGTTTACAACGTCCCGGCGCGTAAAATCGTCTGGCATTTGAACTATGAGACAGTTGTAACACACCTGGCATAATAGTTGCGTGCAAAAGAAGCCGATCTTGTAATGGGCATCATGCATAATACGCAACATGCAATGCGTGCGTATTTCGCGTACAAGTGCCTTCGCATTTTCATTAGCGTTGGCATGTACAGCACCACGAGTTCATGCTGCGATGGTGTAGCATCAGTCACTCGTAATGCTATGACCGCTAATTTTGCCTAGATAATCTATCTCGAAATCGCACAGGCGTATTTTCCTGGGCAAGAGCTGAAGGGCCCTTTCGTCCCATCCTGGGGTGCGTACAACTACTATTCTGGCGATACGAGGACCGGGTGCCCTGGTCGTTTCTGAGGCCCTCAAAGGGATGCGCCCCACACCGGTCTCATCTCTGATGCGACAGTCTTTCTGATCATGGCATCTGACACAGGATCGACGCAGGGACACGTCACTGACGCAAAGGATCCCTTACCGGCTCAGGGTGTTCAATGTCGAATTGGTGCCGATGCACAAATTCGGTTTATCGACCCCTGCCTCCTGGTTGAAACGGTGCAGGGGCCTGGTTCGGTGCCGGGACATCTGAGTGGCACAGATCACCATTTCGATGTGAGCGCAAACCGTTGCATCATCATTTCCCACGCCTCCTGTCCTGTCCCTGTCTCCTGTCATTGTCAAGAGGGTCCTGACCAACACAAAAGACATTTTGTTGTTCGAAGTCCCGCTCCTGAAAATGCGCCCATGGCCGAGTTAGGGCGTATTGGCAACAAGGGCTCCCTTGTTTGGCAACTTGAGCCCCTGATCAGCACAGGGGCTCGACCAATGCGCGATCTTTCTGACTAATACTCGGCGCCACGACGCTGCCCCGGCTTGGGAAAAAAGGCTCCAGGGCCAAGACCCGCGCGGAGGCGAGTGTTCGATACTGCCTTCTGCCTAAGGTCCCTTCGTACCTGGTCTGCCCTTTGGACCCTTTGATCAAACTCTTGAGCTACGTTCCCTTGTGGCCCAAGGGGCTCCCGGGACCCTCGGGACCTCAGTCACGTGTTCCTGCTCACCGATAGTGGTGCCTTGGATCCTCGTGAAAATAAAAATGGGGTATTTTTTGCCGCCCTGTGGTGGGCTTAGAGACATTCATGGTGTCTCTCTAGAAGTGGGCGCCTCTTCAAAATGCAGGCCGTGATGCCCAAAGTTAAGGCATCGGGTGTCTCTTCGTCAAGAGGTCCGACTAAGAATTTCGTCAGGATGGGATGCGAAGAATTAGTGTTGCCTTGATTCTGGTGTCCTTTGAAGATGCAGATGCTGGGATTCTTTAAATGATCCGTTTGGATTGGTTGCCTGTCAATAACAAAGGTTATGTTACCCCAAAATAGAAGTTTTTTGTGTGCCATCGCCGAGTAGGCTGATGCCAAGCTTCACCCATGGAGAGGTACGAACACTGAGGTGCCATTAAAATTTGTTGCTTCTTGAAAATAAATGTTTTGGGACCTATTGTGCTCCCCTGGAGTTGGGTGCCGGCGTAACTAATGTTTACGATACTCCACAATGAAGGATTTGTGGTGTCTCTTTTCCGGAAGGGGTTGATCCAGAATGTGGTCAGGATGGAAGGGAAACAAATTCTGGTGTCCCCTTAAACTGAGGGTTTCGGACCCTTTCAATGACATGCTTGGACCTTTTGCATACAGTAGATAACTGGTTTGGTGCTGCGAAATGAAGATTTTGGCGTTCCTTCGCCCAATGGGCCGATCCTTGATTTCGTCAATGGAGCGCACGGGTGTTGCAATTTTCCCTGAAATTTGTTGCCTAGTAAATACAAGCGTTTCGGACTCTTTGAGGTCTCCCCCGGAATTATGCATCGCTGGAAAACACAAGTTATGACTCCCCAAAAAGAAAGAAGGAAATTGGTGCCACTTCTCCGAACGTCGAAGAAAAGGCTTATCAGGTGTTTCGTCGTAGTGAAACGCACAGAAACACCTCCTGAAAACAGAGACCATGGTGTCCCAAAGTAAAGGTTTTGGTGGACCTCACCCAAGGAAGTGTTCAAGAACTTATTCCGGGGTGGAAGGCACAACATTGTTGTGTGTCTTGAAAATGAAGGTTTGTGCCCCCCCCCCTGGTCGCCTCTGGGATTTGGCGCCTCTTGGAAATAAAGGCCAAGTGGTTTCGAACCAAAGGTTTTGGTATTCATTCACCACAACGTTTTGATGCCACGAAGGGGCGCCAAAACCTTATGAGTGGGCCAAGGGTGAGTAGCTCATGCTTGTAGCTCACGACTCATGCCTTCTCCAGCCCATCTCAGGATACATCCTTGCCTGCATTGTGTGATTACAAGCAGAATGAGACCATCAAATTTGGACACTCCTGGGGCGTTACCATCATTCAACGAAACATTTTTGTTTAGTCCCAGTGGCTTTATTTCCGACAGGCGCCCACCAGCCACTCAAAATCATTGCCTTCCTCATTACCTCCTGGGACGGCCTCGAAGTGGCACCATTTGTTGGTACATGCGGTGTTCAATATGGCAGGCAGGTGCTGTGTCCACCATAGCTTCCATTTTGGAGACTGCGATGAGACGTCTATAAATAAACATTATCCTCAAGAGATGAGCTCTTGAGGATCAGGACAGCTCGAGATGTTGAGTGCCGTCAAAAGGCTCATTGTCAAGCACTACAATGCCGTTTAACTAGTAGCTTCCGATGTATCGAAGGCCGTCAAGCCAACGTGAAAACTTTGCGCTCATAATACCGAAAAAAGAAAGGGAAGGACTTTCTTTCTTACGACCGTGGCGTTAAGTTGGCAATATTCGTGAAGATATATGTACCGGAAATTGGATAAACAGCATTTATGGGTTCGCCCCCCTTCCATCATGAAAAATGCAAAGATCCACCCATGGCACACTGACTGATTTCACCCACCTTACAGTAAAGGCAGACTATCTATTGTAATCAGGCGAAGTTTATCAATTTATCACGCGTACCTCAGGGCTGCCGGAAACGGCGTCTCCCGAAAGCTGAGCTTTATCTGCCTGCCGCTAGGGGCAGCTGCACCGTTCGTGACAAATTACCTTTGATCCCATTCCAGCCAAAAGACAGAAGAAGCGAAAGGAGGTCAGAAGAGTGGGGATCCCCTAACGTCCCAAGAACAGACCCGAAGGTGGAAGATCAGGTTTGCCCCCCCCCCCCCCCATCACATCATGTAACCCTACGTCACTGCCAACCTCCGCTCCGTCGCGCCTACTGACTTGGCTTCCGCCCTTATGTCATCTTCCTCCATTTATCCTGCATCCTCGTGACACCCCGTTACATGCACCCTTGTATCCTCACCCATGCACCCTTGTATCCTCACCCATGCACCCTTGTATCCTCTGTCTTGAGCTATTCTGCATCCTCGCGACGTTCGTTCGCGACGCGACGCGACGTTCCGCTTGGCCGGGGCATGCTGCATGCGCCAGGTACGGGTGCTCCGAAAGGCGCCGAGTGGGGGACTTCCCAGCGCGCCTACCGCACAGGTGGCCTCCTTGGTAATGCAATATTAAAGGGAAGGAGCACCGTGGGCACGTGCCTCTTATCAAATTGTAACATGCACCATGTCCATGTACAACTAGTAGCACCTTAAGGGGCCACTTGGAAAGAAACAAGATAAAAGCCGCGATTCTTGCCCAACTCCTTTCAGGATTACTCACTGCTGCGTGGCACCCAGCCCTGTTTCGGGCTGGGGCGTGGCTCCCGCTGACAGCAGGATCAGCCTCTCTGGCTCGTCCTCTTTGCGAGCGTTGACAGCACATTTCGGCATGATCGTGCCTTCTGCGCCATCTGTCAGGTAAAGTGTGAAACTACTGATGTCTAAAGCGATGTGTTGTTCCGATCCAACGGTGGCCTAGCAGGGAAGAAGAAAGGTGCAAACGATTTCCTACTGATTTTGTTTTCAAACGCTAGGGGTGTGTCATTAAATCCATAGGTTTTGTGGAGGGAGGGGATATGTAAATGCAGATAACTCAGGCTGAACGGACGGCCGCGTCTGTAATTCAAACTCCGACCAAATATTTTGTTGGTAAGTGCACGTATAAGAAAACGGAAAGTGAATCGCATGATATACCACACAAAGAACGCCACCTTTTTGAGTAAAGCGTGTTGTCTGACATCCAAAGTCACCAATCAACAGCGACACACAGTGTGCCATGTGACCGACCGGACGTCAGTCATGACATTCACGACGCACCGAATAGAAATACGTCATCAGCACCAAAGAAGGCAAAAGTATCTGATTCTATAGAGCCGCAGGACATTATTGGTTGAGTGATATGCTTCCGCGGAATCGAACTACAGGTGGCGCACTCGAGGGTTGCGTGCATTTCATTCAACCTCAACATTTCGCAGCTGGCCAGCCGATGCAGCCGCTACGAACGATAAAAACGCGCGCACCATCACAAATTCGATGCGCTAATGGCGCCCTGAATCCCGCATGACGCCACCCCCTCCCCCTCCCCCACCGCCGGCCGCTCGTCACGGATCGTCAATGAAGCCAATCACCGAGCCCGTCTCCGCCAACGTCCGCTGCGTCATGGCGTCGATCTGGCCAATCAGCTGCTCGGTCTCGTCGTCGGTGACGTCGGCGAAGTTGCCGTTGGTGACGTCACTGGTCGTCATGCGGTCGGACGGCGACGGCGGCGGCGGCGCGGCCGTCTCCAGCTGGTCCTGGTCGAAGTTGGCGTCCCAGTCGAGGCTGGTGGGCGAGGTCTCGCGCGTCAGTGCGACGCTGCACGTGTCGATGGTGCGGCCGCACGACATCTGCTCCTCGTCGGGCGGCCGGCGGCGCGAGCGACGCGGTGAGAAGCCTGCCGGCAGACGCGGAGGTCAGAGGTCACGGACGAACGCCGCCAGGGCGAGCTGTGGAAGACATGCTGCGGAGGTGCCCGAGGACCGAGGGA